ATCATAGTCTCTCTGTTTATTCCAAGGTTTAATGTAATCTACCGTATCCGGGCCGTATCCAGATCAGATGGTGGACCTGAGCCTAGACACGACCACAATGCATCCCTGAAGTGTCAGCAGAGATTGTGTGAACTAGACTCTCCCCTGTGAAGGCCTCATCGACACGACAGCCGACACTGATCCTCAACAAACTCGACTCCATACCAGCGTGACTCCGATCTTCAACCAGATGAACTGGATAATATTCTGAATTGATGGATTTTGGGATCCTTGCCACTGTCGCCTTTTTCATCATTGGCTTGCTTAGTAGGGGACATTTAATTTAATATTCAACAACATTATTGATCTGCCTCAGTGGTGTGCAGGGTATACGCAGGTATACGGCGTATACCCACTTCTTTTTCAGTCGGCATTGCGTATACCCACTTCTAAATCCCCTCTGATGCGCATCATTTAGTTACTAAACCAATCTCGTGAATAAAAAAAACACCCAGTCAGGGTCGTACCCCTAATATTAACTCTAATTTGTTGCTGCAATGATTCTCCCATCGCGACGATAACTGACCTTTCTCATCTGATCTGCTTCAGCATTCAAACACCCGCTCGTCAATGTCAAAATGTTTGAGACCAATCAAAGCATGCAGAATTTTTAGTTCACAGAAGCGCGAGCCGAGCGCTAATCCCAACGCGACGCTTCACTTCAGTTAACGATCATACAGTGCGAGATAAGATGCAAGTAGCTAAAATATACGGCTGGTTTGGCCGACAGAAATAATCAGTTTGATCAAAGACAGTGGAAATTATAAGCTCAATTTAACAACACAAGCACCCTATTATTTATATTGCCATTATTATTGTATAAATATATTTGTATAACGTTTCCTCGAATGTTTTCGACTTTTCACTGTTTGTATCACTCCGCTTGTCTGTGTTTGCGCAACTTGCATCATTAAGCCAGAAGGCGGTGACAAGTGACTGTCTTTGAGTGAGCAATTGAACCATTAATTAAATGAACAGATTAGTCCAAAAACATTGATTAATTTAGGAAAGAAAAAGTAGCTGAAACTGGAACTGATTCTCATGTTTAAGAATCTGATCAAAAACTTCATGCTTTTAAAGCTACTGTTGTCCATTTTTTTGGCCATCAAAACACCTTAAAATGCTCATGTCGAGATCAGGAAAATCAAAATTTTCTCGAGGGGGCATGCCCCCCAACCCCCCTAGCAATATAATTTATGGGACCTGGGTATTTAGAAAACCCTACGTACGGCCCTGATATGCAAGAATACTAGTAATACTTATAAATAACGCCGTTACTAACGGCATTACTTTTTCCAGTAACGAGTAATCTAGTTGATTACTCTTCTCATTTAAATAACGCCGTTACCGTTACTGCCAAAAAATGTGGCGCGTAACTATAACTGATGAAGCTGGGTTTTTTTTCATCAGACCAACTAGATCTCTGAGCGAGAGGCAAATACTTTTTTTACTGTTCTTCCTTGGTTAGTGGGCAGAGCACGAGACAAGCGCATAAATGCTGACGATTGGCTGAGGTAGAGTAAAATGTCATTGTAAGCCAATCAGAGGTAGAGTTGGGCGGGTGTTCGAAAGCACGCATAGTAGTGATGGGCATTCGGCTCTTTTGACTCAGCTCACTGAAAAGAGACGGCTCTTTTGGCTCACAAACGGCTCTTTAAATGACTTTGACTATAATATTTAAATTTTTATTACATAATTATTGAATTTCTATAGGCTAAATTTGTAAAAATAGAGTCGGCTCTTCAGATATGCGAGCCAGCTCCCGACGTTCACCTAAAAGAGCCGGGTCTTAGAGTCGGCTCATTCGCGAATCACGAACGACCCATCAAAAGCTGAGCTCATTCGCGAACGAGTTGATCCATCATCACTAACGCTCATTCGCGAACGAGTCGATCCATCATCACTAACGCTCATTCGCGAACGACCCATCATCACTAACGGCTAACGCTCATGAATTGTGAATCATAACGCATAGTCGGACAGGACAGGACACACAAGGAACAACACAAGCCAGTCAGTCAACGAGAAACAGGTATGGCGACGATCTTAACAAGCTTAATTTAATTTTGCCCAGTTGTGGCCTGTTGAGGGGCAATAAATATCAAAAGTTCCAAAACATCTATTGTGTTATTTGCATTGATCCACTATATAAACATAATATCTACATACATGGCATTTGATTGGAGGCTAGTCTCACTTTGTCCCACAGCAACATTTTTTTTTTTTTTAGATGTGTGTACAATGTTTCATGTTTCTGTTAATAATGTATTGTATTAAGTGTCCATTTCATTATAATATTCAGATTTATCATAAATAATTGAACATGCACATGTATTTTAAGTTCCGTTAAAGAGGGGTAGATGTGGGGTCACATTTGAGCATTTAAAATTTAATTTTACTTGAAAGTAACGCAATAGTTACTTTCTCAAGTAACTAGTTACTTTTAAAATTTGTAACTGGGTAACTAATTTAGTTACTTTCTGGAAGAAGTAACTAGTAACTGTAACTAATTACTTTTTAAAAGTAACTTGCCCAACACTGCATGTCACAGTTTATAACTGTTCATCCTTTGCTGGAATGCTTAAAAAAAATATTGGGGGCATAAATTAAGAGTATACCCACTTCTCCAGGCACCACTACATCACTGATCTGCCTGCATTGACACCATTATATGAGAACTGAACTTAGCTGGACATATATATATATATATATATATATATATATATATATATATATATATATATATATACTTTTTTACAACAAAATGAAATATCACTGAACTTATTTAAGCTGGACTGTGACGCTATTTTCTTCTGTAAACAAACTTTGTTGTATTATTTTCCTGTTATCTCTGTAAAGCTGATTTGAAACAGTCTGTATTGTAAAAAAGCGCTATATAAATAAATGTGACTTGACTTACAGAGAATGGTCTGAAAAAGTGAAAATATCCAGTGAGCTGTTTTTAGTTTGAGTTCACTTCTGGTATCATGTTTTGTTCAGTGATTTGAATAAAATATTTCTCAGTGCAATCTCAACCATAGACAGTATAAGAAGTGGACAGAGCCATCTCATTGGAACTCAGTTGAGACAGTTGAAGCCCATTTTTAGCTATTTTTGAGCACTTCCGTTCCTGACGCGCAGACTCTAACCAACTCAAACTAAGCTTGATGACGTGAGCAACCTGTCTGACAGACGTTAATCTTCTAGTAGCTGTGCGTGAAAATTGCCAACGTTAATCTCGCAGAGACGGGGAACTTGAGCAAAGGGTTATTTGGCGTGAGTGAGCAGGAGTAAGTATTCCGTTGCTTTTATGAACTCATTATCTATGGGCTTCTCCCTTGATGGGACGTCCCCCCGATTGCCTGCGAGCTTCTCCTCCTGTCTGTACGGTCAGACTGATCTCATGAAATGGCGTATGTATGACACGCCAATTCGTATTTCCATTTTTGGCGTGCTATCAACACGCATAATCGCTTTTCAGCGTGTTTATCAACGCCTTTCACTTAACGTTATATTACTGTATTATGTATATATATAAATATATGACCTACCCCAACCCCGTCCCTAAACCTACCCGTCACTGGGGTTAATACCATTTATGAGTCTTCTCCTACCATCCTAGGAAAAGAAATATCGCTCCACAGATGTAGATATAGATTTTGTTTCGTTTCGCTCGGACATTTAACGGCGTACACATACACGCGGAATCACTCGGACATTTAACGGCGTACACATACACGCGGAATCACTCGGACATTTAATGGCGTAGACATACACGCAAAAGATTTCGGCGTGGACATACACGCGGATAGCTCAAAATGCGTATAAATAACACGCCACTTGAATTGAAAGTGGCGTGTATGTTTACGCAAAGTCATGATGTCATGTTGGTACGGTAATTTCTGTACTGCGCGACAGAGAGTCGAGTGGTTATGACGCAATCGTTAGCCTATTTTTACTAAATCTGTTTCTACGGGGCCATAATGTAACATAGAAGGTAATGGAGCTCTGTATACATTGTCGTGTTTCTTTAGAAATAAATAATGGACAAATGGAGTCTTTAAACGCCTCAGATGTAAAGTTATTCGCTGTCAAAGTGACGCCAAAATGAATGGGAGTCAATGGAAATGCTAACGCAAGTGAAGTTCTGCTACAACATGGCGGCACCCGGCCGGCTTCAACTTCCGGTCGATGTATTACCTACCCCCTTGGTCTCAACATGTCTGTTTATTTTCTCTGAACACTTCAACATGTGGTTTTATTCTTCGTTACTCGTTTCATAGTATTCGTCACATAATACTAAACACAGCGCCATCTAGTGGCTTTCTTGAGTAACAGACACAATCACTGGATCTCATTACAGAGATGGAGTAAATAACTCCTGATAACATGTGAGTTCAGGGTGAGCCACTAGATGGAGGAGTTGCTCCTCAGACGAGACCACAGAGACAAATCACACTAGAGATTTAAAGACTTTATCATCGCCTGTTGGAGGAAATGGAGGATCGATATGTTGTGTTTATGTATTTCACTGTGATCTCAAAGCATATTATAATGTTTCCCAAATCACTATTTTTCTCAGGATAAAAGAGAAGCCGGTGGAAGTTGTTTGTTTATTATTGTAGATAGAAAAACAGTAGGCCTATCAGTATTGTTAAATAATATTTTAATAATGTAAAACTTTATATGTTCCAAACTTCTGAAATCTTTCAAATAAACATAAAGTTAGTATTCCTCCATGAGGCGCTCTACATAATAAATGCAATAAAACATGGAGAGACTCTTGAACTTCAGAGTGAGAAACTTTATTGATAAAGGCACAAAAATACATACAGCAAATATACAGCAGTAGTAAAGTGAGATCTGTGGGTCTCTCAATTCATTGTTTTGTATCTGAGAGAAATGTAATCAATAAAGCCTTACAAATAAGACTTTTTTTTTAAATCTCAAAATAATCATGGTCAATTATTCAGTATTTATAATGAAAAAAAACACTAGAAGAACAAAAAAACACACTTGAAGAACCTTTGAAGTTCAGCGTTCTGCTTTAGATTTCAATACTTTCTAAAAAAGATAAAAATATATAGCCAAAAATTAATAAATCTCTCAAATATATATGAAAAATCAGTTTGTGAGAAATTACATCAATCATGTACCTGATGTGTGAATACGTGCTTGATCTCGTTCAGCTCTTCTGGATCTGATGTCATAAACCAGAATGATGACAGTAGCCACGCCCACCAGAGCAGAGAGGACCAATCGGATCACAGCTTCAGTAGGACCACAACAGTGGACAGAGTCTGAGGAATAAACACATCAAACTGACATCAGATCAGTCAATAAACACTAATATCAGCGCTGACATCAACTAATATTTCTGAATAAACAAAAATATGATAAAATCTAATCAACAATCATATATTTGGTTCTATGTAACAGAGTTTTTCTATGGTCTGTCTTAAACTGTAAAATGTTTCAACAATTCAATATGTAAATAGTTGAATAATATATTAATATTACAATATTAAATAAATATTTGAAGGAGAAGATAAATGATTTCTACTCACCATAAACAGAAACTCTGAATAATTTTGATGACCATCTTCCTGTAATCATCAGTAGATAACCTCCTTCATGTTCAGTTGTGGTGTGTGTGATGGTCAGAGATCCAGTTTGATTGTCCAGCTTCAGTCTGTCTCTGAATCTCCCATCAAGAACATCATCATATACAGTGATTCTGTCGGCCCGTTTATTGATTTCAGCTATTAATGTGTATCCAAACATCCACTGAATCACATCATCATCCTTCATTTCAGTAAGATCAGAGTTTAGAGAGACTGAACCTCCCTCCATCACTGACTCATAAAACACTCCTGAAGAATTTTTTTTCACAGATTAAAGCTTTAAAATCACTTGATATTGGTTTGATGAAGCTTCACTAAAATACTTCTAATCATGTAAATGTGAAGTGATTAATATTCTGCAGCAGTTGAAAGACAAAAGATGATGAATGAAAATGAGAAATAGTTAAACAGTTTTATATAATCAATAACTGCAAGAAGAAGATCGACTTTAATCTCAAATAAGAATGTTATCTCTCAGCAAAATCACACATTATGTGTTTCTATACGAGAATAACAGTGAATGTTAATCCTTTCTGACTAATTTAACCAGTAATTTATCACAGGATACCAGAACCAGAAAAACACATTTAAAACTCACCATCCAGACGCCAGAAACACAAACAGAGCAAAACTAATTTGAGAAACATTTTCTTCATCGGTTCACTGAAAAGCCCACGATAGTAACTCTTAATGTCTGAAACACTCAGATTGATCTGAAAGACTGAACTGAGATATTTATCAGGTTGTGTGTGAATCCTCCCCCAACCTCAGTTAGTTTCCACACACACATCCGTCTCCTTTAACATCACGAACATCAACAAGCTTTTGCTGATCTTACATTTTCAAATGAATTCTGGCCCTGAATGAAAACTAACAGCAGAAGAGTGAAATATTGGCTTAGATATCTGTATCTACTGTGTTATTTAGTGCTGTGAGTTGTCAATCATATTTGACCTCTGACTCTTATTTGTCTGTTGATGGATTCACTTTATTTCAGTGTAAAGATGTTTTGTGTGGAAGATTGTGAGCTTCTTATTAGCAGGAGAGAAAATGAAGAAACGCTTCAGCCACAAACTACTGACACACACAGAGACGACAAACATCCAGCAGAAGCTGTTTATCCTCCGACAGATCAAGCCACACACACAGATGTCTGGTCTGGTAATACTCAAGTCAGCATTCACACACACATTCATACACTGGTGGCAGATACCACCTGCTCCTCAAGAGCGTTTACCATTCACACACTGATAGGACAGTCATCGGGAGCTCAGGGGTTCTTGCTCAAGGGCACTTCGACATATGGACCGAACCGGGATCGATCCGCCAATCCTCCGATCAGTGAAATGTCATTCTACCTCCTGAGCCACAGCCGCCAGAAACATTACAATCATAGACAGAAACAGAGCAGATGCCGTGTTGGCCGCTGCTTTCCATTGGAGATCTGCCTCATTGTCACCGCCATATCAAGGCCTGCCATGCCTATGAATGCATACATACCCCATGTATAACAAAGGTGGTAGACAGCGGTAATCAAAGCCCACTCATGGACTTTATAAGCTTTGGCCTCTGCAAAATGGTGCCAACATTGACATACAGCCCCAGTGCATGTTCAATATGATGTCTAGTCTTTAGAGATGCACCGATTACAATCTTCTAGGCCGATTCCCATTTCATTTTTTCTAACCACTTTACAGCACACATTTATTTTCTATATATATTTTATAACACCTATACTTTTATCCAAACTGAATAATAAAAACAAGTTTAAATGGGTACATTTTCTATAAATATTTTTGAGTCTTCATTTTCTTTTCTGACTTAGCCTACTCCAGTTCTTGTTAAAACACACTAGACATGCAAATTATTAACCTCCCTCCATATGCTGGAATGATGTATCCCGATCTTCAAGCAGGAGCTGGATGAAATATAATCACATCATGTTCAGAGAACTGGTCCTCCGACTGAGTCTGGTTTCTCCTAAGAATTTTTTCTCCGTTTCTGTCACATGATGGAGTTTGGGTTCCTTGCCACTGTCGCCTCTTAATATTTAGTTGGGGTCACTTAATATTCTGCAATATAATTGACTTGAATTTGACAAACAGATAAGTGCCGTAGTCAAATCTAGTTTCTTCCAATTAAGACTATTATCTAAGGCTAAGAGTTTTTTAACATTTGCAGAGTTCGAGAGAGTGATTCATTTGTTCATTTCATCTAGACTCGACTATTGTAATTCTCTTTATATTGGAACGAGTCAATCCAATAGTAGTCGTCTTCAGATGGTTCAGAATGCAGCAGCCAGACTTTTGACTGGCACGAGGAAGTTTGATCATGTTACCCCAATATTGCATTCGTTGCACTGGCTGCCAGTTCCCTTTCGAGGGAACTCGCGATGCGTCACTTGACGCTTTGGGAACGCCCCCAGCGTGCATGCGTCTGAGCATCAATGTCAACTAGTCCAATGGAAAGAATGAGCGTCACGGGCGGGTGACGTCATGACCAGGAAAGGGATAAAGGCTCACCCGGTGAAACGCGGCATTAGCTTCTGTGTCTCAGCAAGCGATCTGTGTCATTTTGTCTCTGTCTATTTACTGTTGTCTGTTGCGGAAAAGGATGGAAACTAAACAAGTGTACAAACAGTGTGCTTCTCCCTGCCCGCGTTATTTAACGGGTGGGGACACACACGAGCTTTGTGTCGTTTGTTTGGGAGTGGAGCATGCGGTCTCAGCCTTCGAGGGGGCTGAGTGCCAGCATTGTGAGATGTTACCGCTTCGCATGCTCCGCTCTCGCCTGTCACTCTTTGATAAAGAGAGTGGGCAGGCTCGCGATCCACAGGGATCAGGACCCGCGTCTGCTGAGGCAGCGCGGAGAATGCATTCCTGGGGATCGCAAAAGGATCTTTCGGAGGGGTTGGAGACGGGTCCGAGGGCTCTTTCTCCTTCCTTACCCGAGAGATCCAGTGCTCTCCCCCCGGTGTCGGAAGCACGCTCTGCGGTTTCTTCCGCCCGGGGAGAGAGCACTACATTACTTTATTGCTCTTCCTCCGAGGAGGTTGATGTGATGAGTTTGGAGAGTGAAAGCACACACATGGGGGAAAGAGATTCACAATTTATTTCCCCAGCATATGATGAGCTGGTGGATGTTATGTCGCGGGCTGTAGAGAAATTAAATATTGAATGGCCATCTGAGAAGAAGGGCGCTCGTCCTAAAAGCAAATTAGATGAGCGCTTTTTATCTTCCACCACATTATCTCCACCACGAGGGCTTCCATTTTTTCCCGATTTGCACAATGAAATATCTAAATCGTGGAATAAACCTTACTCATCACGTCTTTTCAGCCCTCAAGTTAACACTTATTCGAGAATAAGAGGGCTGAAAGAGTATGGTTATGAGGCGATGCCCCAGGCGGAAGAGAATTTAGCCAGTTATCTTTCCCCTGGTCCCGCATCGTCTCTGAAAGCCTCGGCTTTGCCCACTAGACCGCTCAAAGCCACTTCGGTGTTAGTGGGCAAAGCTTATACGGCAGCAGGTCAAGCTGGAGCATGTCTGCATACTATGGCAGTGCTCCAGGCTTATCAAGCTGACCTGCTGGGGGATCTGGATAGTAGTGAGGGAGTCAGTCATGACGATATTCGTGAACTTCGTCGGGCTACCGATCTTTCTCTCAGGGCTACTAAGGAGACCGCCAGAGCAATTGGGCGGTCTATGGCAGCCTTGGTAGCTACTGAGAGACATTTATGGTTAAATCTGTCTGAAATTAAAGAAAAAGATCGAGCTTTTTTATTAGATGCTCCGCTTGAACCTTCTGGTCTCTTCGGCGACGCAGTCCACGCGGTCGTCGAGAGATTTCAGGAGTCAAAGAAACAAGCTGACGTTTTTAAAAAGTTTATCCCTCGCCGGGTCCAGCCCCCTGGGGCTGCTGGGCGTGAGCAGCCCCAGCCGTCGAGCTCATCATATCGTGTGCATCAGAAAGAGAGTGTTGCGTCTCGTGCACCTCCACGTAGAGACTGGAGACGGACGCAACCCTCTCAACCGAAGTCTTCTAAGTCGAAGCCGGATCTGAGGACCGTTCTTCAGGCGAAGAAGACTTCGGTTCAAAAAAAAAAAAGGTCCTGATGTTCATGCATCAGGCCTGTGAGGACAGCCCCGACCGAAGTGGAGCGGTGTACACCTCATTATACGGTGCCCGTTCCATTTCGGGGTCCTCACGAGACCGTTCTGCCAACCCTGCCACCCTCGGTGCTTCAGGGCGCAGCGGTCTCCAGCGAGTCGCTGATGCTATGCTGCGGCACAGCATCGGTTTCGCGCCCTCTGAGGGGGGCCTTAGAGCGGCCAGTTCAGGTAGTTCCTGCCATTATGTTTCAGGCTCCGGAATTGGCTGTCTCGATAACACCAGAGACCAGCCTCGAGAGGCTGGTTCCCTTAGTAAATTTTCTGGCAGCGTGGAAGCTTCTGCCGAATATTTCTCATTGGGTCCTGCAGATTGTAGAGAAAGGATACAGAATCCAGTTTGGTTCTCGTCCTCCTCGTTACAACGGGGTGCTGCCCACAGTGGTGCATCCCGAGCAGGCTCTGGTAATGGAGCAAGAGGTAAAGGCCCTGTTAGCAAAGGAAGCTATAGAACAGGTGTACTCACCCGACAGAGAGTCGGGTTTTTACAGCCGTTATTTCATTGTTCCAAAAAAGGATGGGGGGTTGCGTCCCATTTTAGATCTTCGTCTGTTGAATCGTTCAGTACAGAAACTCAAGTTCAAGATGCTGACACTCAAACAGATCGTGACTCAAATCAGATCCGAGGACTGGTTTGTCACGATAGATCTGAAGGACGCCTACTTCCATATCTCCATCCTCCCTCAGCACAGGAAGTTCCTAAGGTTTTCTTTCGGGGGCAAAGAATACCAATATCGGGTTCTTCCTTTCGGTCTAGCTTTATCACCCCGCACGTTCACGAAATGCGTGGATGCAGCTCTAGCCCCTCTCAGGCTTCAGGGCATACGT